AATATTTTTTGGTACAGTTATTATTGTATAGTAAGAAGACGGTTTATCGAGTGTATGACGACACAGTATGAAACCCGCAGATCGTTGCGATTCAATTAGGATATAATAATATTATGTAAATTTTAATAATAATACAATGTCGCTGTTTTCCCGTGTCCTGTCAAAAACGTCATAAAAATGCAAATGATTTCGATCTGACCGTTTATCTGCATCAAACGGTCGTGTACACTACACACAAACACACATATAGGTACACCGTACACACACACACACACATATATATATTATATGCAAAGCTAGATAGGAATATTTATACAGCACAAAGGATTCAGGCTCATAATATAATACGTATATTGTGTGCACAAAAAACAATATTCACCGCTGAGGGAGATCGTCATGCAAAAGACATGGTGTATGATACCAAATCACGAATAGCCTGTGGGTGCTTTGTCGACAACTCTAAATTAATTACTGATGAAAACTATGTGTGGTGTACACAAAGAAACCGCGAGTGGCACAGAGACTCGCATAAGTTTAATCGGATTGACAACGTACCAAATTAAATTGGTATTTGACAATGGTCTGGAAATCACTACTATATACGTATGCTATAATTGTTTATTCAAACACAATAATGCAAACGTCTGCGGTGAAGTTTTGCAAAGTTTTTAATAATTTTTAAACGATAAGGCCTCCTGGATTTAAATAATAACAACACTATACATGACGCACTCCATCGCCGTTTGTAAGTAAAAATGCCCGTTTTATTATGGCTTATATGGCCAATTTTTTTCGAATACGTCATCCGTGCAGAATTCAATTTACGTATAGAGACTTTATTTTTTCATTATCCAAATACACCGTCTGATAWTGATTTGTTGCTTTATGTGCGAGGARAGCGTGTCAGTTAAATAAAAGAGAAATATTTGAAATAGGATTGACCATGAATTCCAAAACATTTAGAAAAGAAAAAATAACAAAATTTGTTGGTACGACCGGTTAAAATTTTTTTTTATTAATCTATACAAAAAAATAAATTTAAAAATCTATAAGTTTATGACTAATAAGAAACAGGAATAATAAATATTTTTAAAACAATTAATGTTTTAGCATTTATTTAGATTCATTTATATTTTAGTGTGTTTGTAAGACACTGAGACTAAAGTCTGCGCACGTCTATATGATCTACATATATTTTATAGGTGTTTAATATTTTTTCGTTGTATGATGTTTCACTATATAATATATTACATTATATACATAATACTCTGAGGATAATATTTAAAAAAAAWTATGAATGTTTCGTTCTAATTACCTGATATTTAATTCTATAGACTGCTCTTTTGATATTTCCCACGACCTAATTTAGGTTCTTCACTAGTCACTACCCTATATGAACACTTTAATATATGGTATTTTCATTCTAATCGATCATTGYACATTATTTGTGTTTCGTTCTATACACTATATATTTTAAAATAATATTATGTAGATATATTTTAATAGTTATGTGTAGGTACATCAAATTTGCGAATCGAACGTGACAGTTGAAAATTAGGTGTAAATTGATGATAATAATATTGTCACATGGCAGTGGCCAGGGACATACATACAGTTGATAAAACTGCGTTAATTGAATTATTTGTATTTTACATCCATATAAACGTACACTGTAGTTATTTTCGATGGACTGCAATAAATTATTGGCATATTATGATATATGTATATTTATTAGTTATTACGTACAGTGTGACTCTTTTAAAAAGTATGCATTAATTTCAAAATTATTATATATTATAATATTTTGTTTCGAACTTTGGAACATTGTTAACACCATCACAAGCAGCCATAAAATTTTAATATTTTACATTATTCACCAAATTCTAAGACTGTCCGTAAAACCGTACTATATTAGTTTAAATTAATTATATTTCTCGAAATACTTTTGGAATAATCTTGTTCTGTAAATATCAAATACTGAATGAACAGAAATATTTATCCTTAGAAATACACGTTTTTTTTTAAAGGTTTAGCGAAGTAGTGATGACAATACACTTAATATTACGTAATATATAATATCAATATGTAAGTTAATACTAACCATATTTTTAATTTCATAAAAAATATTATACAAAAATAATATAAGTTTAATTGTTCAGTGAATCACACTTTAAATTATTATCCCGTGATGACGTCGTTAATCGATTAATTGTTTGTTGTCCATTGTTGAGGTGTCAATTATGGAAAGAAAAAAATAACTATATGATAGAGGATAAAGTTTTTTTGATATATATATTATTATATTCTATGGAATTCAGAGGCATACTTTAGTCCTTATTAGGGCAATACGTGTGTTGCGAGGGTCATTTTATATCGTGCTGCCGTTTTGTTGTGTTTATTATTCTACTATGACTGGAGAGATGGGAGCGGTTCATTTTTACCTCTAGTTTTTATATTATATACGTTGATTAACTAATAAAAAAAGACGGATAGAAAGATTTAAAATATTTAATTTTTATGTTCCACTTTAATGTTAAATCTCATTGTCTTTTTTTTTTTTTAAGGCACATTTTATGTTTGAAACTCTTTAAAATCAAAATTATGAATCGTATACTTCAAGTATAATACATTTTAAGAATTATTATTTTTAATTACTGTCGTTATTTTCAATTTAACTGTTTTGGGATTTGCCCATTAATAATATTTTAATATTATCTTCTCCATTTATTTAATAATATATTTGCAATTGAATAATAATCCAATTTAAAAAAAAAATCAAAATAGGTAGGAAAATGAATGTAAGGTAATTTCCATTTTTAATAGGTTTTTAAATCGTTCAATAAACATTTTTTTTTTTTTTTGAAAGAATTGGATTGTTATATTTTACCTAATTGAATTTATATTTAAATGGTTTTTAAATTGTTGTTAGTATATTATTTACTAAAGATAAAAATGCATTTTTAATCTTAGTTTTTATTTTATTAATATACAGTGGTTCTCTAATAGTGGTTATTAATTTAAAAAAAAAAAAATTAAAAAAAAACAAATTATAATAGTATAACATATAGCATAATTAATCATATTTCACTTAATGTAATAGATTATGGACCATCGTAATAAAATCCGTTATCATCAAAATTAGACTTTTTTATGTCAAGAAAACTTAATACACACACACATTACGTTCGTGTATAATAAATAACAATTTTTTTTATTTATTCAAATAGCGTTTTTATAACACCGTGGTATACATTGATAAATCCCTAAGTACGCTTATTCTGYCGGTATTTCTAAATGGTTTTCAATACTAGGGCATTTCCAAAATCTTGGATCAAATCACGCATATATTCGCGAGTTTTTGACACTTTATTATTTGAAAAACTGTGACGCGCTTGCATTAGGTATAACAATATTATAATATTATATCATTCGCAGTGCGCACACGTATACGCATATTCATAGCTATATGACTAATATAATATGCATATACCGCCTCTGTAACGTTATCGAAATATTTTATTAGGTCTTTAAAATTTAGATTTCTTAAAGTATATGGGTATCAGCATAAGATATAATATATTCGCGTTAGACACCGCTYCCGTCGTTATAGCCATAATAATAATATAATATGTAGTTACAAATATACGTGTATGCGATATATATATGTGGCAATAACCCGAMCTAACCCAACGTAAATCTGCATGCCATAGGCACGAATAAAATATGAGCTGGTCAAATATATTCTTTATACAGAAAGAGGATATTATATAATTTTTATACGAGCATAATTGGTCTAAAACGTGTATTATTATTTTATTTATCATGTATTATTTACATATTTTTTATTAAATACACACTGGATTCGTGAAATGAAAAAAAACTACTAAACTACATAATGTGTCTTTTAAGTTTGAAAAACTATTCTGAGCGCAGTTCGGTTTGGTCAGTTTGGTCGAACTAAMATTTTTAAAAACGAGTACTATAGCCAATTTATACAGCTTTTATAATATTAATGTCGGAATTTCACGTTATCAAAGGCATTTCCACGAACAAATAAAAAAAATACCTTTCATAAAATACAATCAATATTTCATATTTTCATTTTTAATCTATGGATGTGCTGCATCAAAAGYACCGACTACGAAAAATACTATTAAAAAATTGTAAAACCAATATTTCACTCATACCGCTTAAAATGTATACAATATAATATACACTGGTATACATTTTTCATATATGTTTTGAATTTAATTTATAAAGCATTAAAAATCCAAAATATGAACTGACATTTGTCAACTATATCGAGAAAAAATTATTCATCACACATATTTATATTCTTTAAATAATAAAAAATCTACAGCTTACATGTACCGGTTACGGTTCCACGATTGTTCGTATAGTTTTGGTAATAATAGTTCTTTTCAGATCACTTCCAGCGCAACTATGGCAAATTTAAAAATTGGCACTCATAAAAGTTCAAAGTACAATTAGATTTCTAAATATTTTTTTTGTTTTAAATATTGACTTTAAATAATAGTAATGGTGGTTGTGAAAATGTATTATGTTAAAAAAAAAAAAAAAATTAAAGTGATAATGAGTGAACGGATAATGGAGCCACAGTGGTGTAGCTAAATTGTCTATCTAACACGCCGTGTTACCATGAGAATAATAATAATATTTTGGAATAGAATTTAAAATAATATATTTATCAGCTGTATTGGATTAAGTATTAGAGTAATTTAAAAATACGTTTTAATCAAAGATCAATTATTATTTTTGGATGTTTAAAGGACGCAAGGTATACGTTCTACTTTTAATATATTTAGGAAGCTTTTAAGCCCATGTTTCAACCTCTTTTATAATCCTAAAAATCTTTAATGTCACTGCCTTGACGTTCATTATTATTTCGTTCAATGTGGTACTAATTTCGTATACTGCAATATTATAATATTATGTACTGATGAAGACTGAACACGTTGCGTTTTTCTTGTGTCCCGCAGGTAACATGTTCGAATGCGACTGCGGCCTGTTGTGGATGAACCGATTGGCCGTCGAGACGAACAACGAACAGGTGGAACGCGAGCTAACGACCGCCCAATGTCAGATGAACGACACGGCCGACAACGACGGCGGCGACTTGGCCGATTTGAAAGTGTCTGGCCCGCGGAGCGCTTACGGCGACGGTGGCTACGGCGCGAACCAAGTGGACGCCGATACGACGGTGGACAAGGCGATATCGGTTGGCGGCGTCGGTGGAGGAATGGTGGGCGGGGTCAACGGGGGATTTCCCAAGTCACTCGACGAATCGCAGGTGATCGCCGTCAGCACGTTGAACGAGGACACGTGCCCGGGCAAGGAGCAGCCGCTCGTGGACGGGGCGCCGGACGCGGCCCAAAATTCGGACCGCGTGCTCTGGGAGTCGACCAAGTCGGCGGCGGGCACAGGCTCCGTTCTCCGAGCGCCACTCGGTCGGTCGACCCTGCCCGTTCTCGTCTCGGTGGTCGCCATCATCGTTTCACGTCGCTGTTAGGCCAACAACTACACGTCCTCTCGCGCGATCATATTATTATATGTTATTATAATAATATTATATTATATAAACTTACATAAATACGTTTTCGATTAAGGTTTATGTGTGTGCGGGTGTGCGGGTGTGAGGGTGCGTGGGTGTAARGGGTGGCCAAACGTCGTACACGAAACGTGCGTAAATGATATCGACACGATAAAATAAAATAATTTAATATATATATATATATATATGGCACACTGCGCATCATTGCGTACCTCGCCTATATATAATATTATGTCCGTCGTCGCGGTTTATACTTTTTAGATGCGATCATATTATATTGTAGTAACATTGTATTTTCCTTCGCTACCGGTGCGGTTTCCAAATCGCTTGAAATTTCGCATAATTAACCAAAATATATTATAGGCACTGCGCAATCATCCACATGTTTGCAGTTACATGTCGCTGAAAATGCATTTTTCCAATGTAAARCATCAACAACTATACATCGCTACACATTTGCAGTATGATGATAATATAATGTAGGCAAGTACTCGTGACGAAATAACGGTATTATCATTCAGGTATGTATAGGTACCGTTCACGAATTTATTGTTTATTTTCGAACTCGTTTCGTGTTTTTTACGCRTACGATTTAAAGAAAAAAAAACCATAACATTCTTTGCACCGTAACGATTCGTAAAGATTATTAAAATATAATATAAAATAAAATAATACAAACATATTTTACATTAAAACTGCATAATTTTTCTGACAGTTGATAAAATAATAATATTAAGGGGTTAACGCGGCCTCAATTTTAATATAATAATATTTAGAACGAATCGACGAGCCGACAGAACGTATAAACATAAGAAGCGGAATGTGCGGCCACCCTAAATATTATACATAAACATATTATGTAGTTTATATGATATATATATATATAGATTTAGATATACCTAGATGTGAGCATAATATATTGTAATGATGAAAATCAAAATATTACTATTATTCATTCGTGTTTTCGTAATAAATAATAATAATAATAATAATCTTTCGTCACTATAATATTATATTTTTGTTTGCTGTTTTTGCATGATACGCATAATGTATTATTAGTATTATTATTGCAACAGTAATATTATAATATTTTAATCGTTAATTATTTCTTTCGATATATATTATTGTATTTAAATTAAATCACAAGCGATAGAATCATTGTGTTTAATAATATTAAATAATGGCTTATATATACCAAAACACAATGACCGATGACGGTATGATACATCCATAACGTCTGACCTATAGGTCACAGCACATACTAGTTAACAGACGAAAATCAAAATAAGCAAAAGTGAAATATATATAAAAAAAAAAACACTCACACAAATTGCATGGAAATTTACGTCGGTGCTTCAACTGTAAAAAAAAACATATACTTCAGATACTGAATACGATAGGCTATTCAAATAATATATTAATAATAATATTATTATAATCTAAAGCGTCTATCGGCGGCCACCGCGGTCGTTTATAATAATATCATTACACGGCCCGTTTACATAATATAATACTCGATCCGGAAGACGGGTGATAAGAAAAAAATTATGTTTTTTTTTTTTACGTAACGAAGTTATCATATTTCCCGAGAATCTGGAACGAAATCGCGTGTGAATATAATATAGTGTACGTGGATAAAAGCGGCTATATTATATTATACATGTCGTGTTATTAGTTTGTTTCTCCCGGTTGAAAACCCAAGAATGGACCGCCGTCCGCCGAGTGCACTGCAATATTCTTTGAGAGTGACTAAATAATGTAATAATAATAATAAAATAAACTAAATAATATACGTAACAATAATAATGTAATACGAACTAGTGGAACAAGTCTATCTCGCTTAATATTATTACATCGATATTTTGATCGGCACATATCGCACATAATGCAACAACAATTACATGTATGCAGCAACTGCAGTGGCTCGGTCGAGGTTATGCTAAGAAGATGAGAGGGTTGAGGGGCTGATAATTTAGACGATGCCCGCRCGAGATCGGTATGCTGATGGCTTTCGGAACATGACATTTTATATGACTTTAGTAGCAACCTTCAATAGTTACAAATTAAAATTATTTTAATACGCGGTCATACGACTTAAGCGTTTTTAATTTTTCCGAAATTTTGGAGAGAGCTCAGCCACCTCAATGCGTTAGGTATACCTACGTTCGCGTTGTATATATACGGGTTGTGAATCGGTATAAGATCAGCCGACAACGATTCGAAACGAATAAACAGGATATGAACATCCGGAACATCGGAACACCGCGAACGATGTTCCACTGCCGCCATATCGTTTCGAACAACTTTATAATATGTATACAATTTACTGTACAATAGTGTATTGGCACGTGTAAATAAAACGATATCACACACATATGAGCCTATTAAAGTTACAACTGCAGTCGTCGACATGTGATACGTACAGTGTTATTGTATAATAATATTATTACATCGGTGCCGTCTTTACGATGTATTCCATTGCGTCATATATTACATTCCTCATTATATTATAATAAGCCTTATTCTTCTGCAGCTTTTTTTTTTTATTCTCTATGTTGTCAAACGGTGCAKTTTCTCGGTTATATTACTGCGTCCGTTTTAAGTGTGTAATTGACATTATATAAGGTACGTTCGTTAACGTTAAAAAATTACGTGCCCGATTCGATAATTGCAATTTTGTTTTTCGTGGAACCTTTCGCCTTATTTTTAAGCTCTTGTTTGTTTTTAAATTGATGCTTAAATATCCGAAATCATTAAACTATTATGCGATAGTTGCATGATCACTTAATCCAAAATAAAAACTAATGCTCTTTAATGTAAAAYTAACATTTTTCATAAGAAAAAAAAATTATTCATAAGTCCATCCCTTCAATTTTAAATGATTAATATATATAAACATACTATATGTTGTATTATATGAGTGTTGTTTGAAATAAAATAATATTAATTTTAACGTCGTTTTTAATAAACTAAACATATATATAAAACATTTAAGGTAGAAAACAAATTTGAATTTTAAAAATCCATATTACATGTATTATATATTAAGAAATATTTATGTTATTTTATAATTTTTTTAAGTTGTGTTATTATCAGAGGTTTCTTCTCATTAACTCACAACTAAAAATAATATATACCTAAATAATATCATCTATTGTAATAATTATGAATAGATAACTATATTTTCGATTTTAGACTACCGAAATAATATTTTTATGTGTTTAACGCAATTATACGTGGATTTATTTGTATATATATTTTTTTCTTCATAAAATAGTTGTAATATCAGTTATTTATAAGGTTATATGCGCGTAAAACGCATTATTATATTATATAATGTTTTATTCATTCACCGACCTATAATATTTTATTATTTTGTACTCGTGCATGTGTGTACGAAAAAATTAGAACAAAACGGATACGTCGAAATCACTGTAAATTAAAAGCGAAAAATAGAAATATATATGTACACATTAAGTTAGTGTATTAAGTTTTCAAAACACGTAATGACTATTATTTAACCCATCCTACCTGTTAAAACCAATCTTCGTTTTGTATCGAATAAAAATCGTATTATATATTATATACATATGTTACTTTCGTTATTGAATGGTTTTCCTTTTAGAAATATTATCCATATAACTATATCTACTTCTGGTTGGAAAATAACCACTTGTCATTATACTATATTTATAGCCCGTCAATATACAGCAGTTGAACGCCGCCGATTTTGAAGWGGAGCCGCCACTGCGTCATGTTTAATTTAATTGTATAATATAAAATATAGACATAAGCTTCTACTCATCATGTAATGGGTTTGTATATGATATAATATATATAAATATGGTACGGCTGTAGCTTACGGGTAAATATTTGTCTGCCAATCATTGTAGACGAGTCCAAACCTCTCGACATTATATAATAATATAGTCGTTTCGAGAAGGTGTTATACTGTTATTTGACACGGACAGCTGTAGCCTACAAAGTATATTTGAAGGCTACACACAAAAAAATGTGTTGGTATAATATAATATTTTATATTATGCCTCTCCTTCACGGTTTTATACCTATACGTTATACACAAAGAGAGTTTTATTTTTCGACCAAGTAAACCTACATACATTTGTGTTCTGTGCTATTTGTCTACGTTACTGTATCAACATGTCGCATGTTTGTACGAAATTGTAAGAATAGATTCAGCCACTGGAAAATTGACATGGATAAAAAAATGTTTGAATTGAACTCTAATGTGTTGTACATACCTAAAACAAAGCATGTTACACCAATGCCTCCCTTCAAACATATTATAATATTAATATGTACATATAGGAAAATATTATTATTCATAAATAATAATRATATTTAATACTCGTACAGTATAGGTTACAAAAATTATTATAGTAAATTAATTTTTACATCGCAATTTATTCAACGTCAAAATGTCGATACCATGATACAGGTCTTTCAAAATTATTCATCAGATTCAGAATTACAGACTACTAAAATCGGATGAATCATTTTGAAAATACCCTGTATATTTAACTGAATATAGGTATGACTGGTGGAATGGATTCATTATGAAATTCTTACCATTAGATTAAAACTCCTATAGATTAAATTCTAAGAACCGCCTCACTATTGCATCACCCAAGAGCAGCCTCAACAATTCATATAAACGCATTATGCCCTACAACTGAAAAAAAAAACATTTTACACGATATAATAGAATATTATAAACAAGACGTAAATGTATTTTTATAAAATTACTTATTCTGATCACAATATCACACGTCAAATTCATTTCCACTTTAAAGCCAACATTTATTAAGATTACGTACACTAGGTTAGTCATTTATTTTAGAAATACTCAAACATGTTGGTAAAATAAAATATAATATATAGTTCACAGACTATATCTTATGCAATATTATTATGTGCTTTATCTATAGTGAAATATTGAATGTGCACATAACATTAACAGCTCAAATTCATTTACGATTATTAAATTTAATATTATAAAAATGTAATTATATCCAAATTGATATACATATAGAGTGATTCATCAAGTACGTTCGACCCTTATTTTTCTTCAATAATACAATATAATTTTAAATCAGATTTTTGAAATTTTAAATATTCAAAATTAAACTGAAAATCTATTAAAAAATTAGATTTTGAATAATTGTATTATTTAAAAATCAAAAACTAGTGTAGCAGTGTCATGGGCTCGTAAAACAAAATAATTTTCTACAGTAACTATTATTGGTTCATACCCACTTTGCCGAATCCCAATTTGCCGACAACTCAGTTTGACGATAAATATACCAGTTTTAAAATATTCCCTTTTCGCCGACAGTCTAGTTGTTAATGATGAATTGATGAAGTGAAGAAAACTGTTCGAAGAATATGTGCCTTAAGCTCTGGTGCCTATCGATGAAATAGATGAGTGTTGGTCAATTATTCATGTTGAATCACCAGTTAATGAAAGTAACTGAAAACGATTTAGTTATAATTTGAATAGTAAATATAATATTTACTTTTTTTTAGGCATTATAAAACTTATGTATTATTTTGTGGAGTTTATGTTTGACCGGAAAATTTGGTATCATAATCATTTCAACACCGATARGACAAGGACAACTAACCACTTAGAATCTTAGCATGCAGCTTTAAACCGGAGTATAATTCGGCCAGAGCCGAACATATTTGTGTTGATAACTGAAATAAAAAATCAACAACAAAGTTTTGAACTTGATCTACAAGCCCAGAAAAACGGTAATCCAAAACCACTAACTAAAATGAAATTTCGAAAGCTTGAAGAAAGATTAAAAAATTCAAAGGATAGGTAAATATTATAAAATAATTAATTTTTACATGTATAATGGTTATTATATATGTAATTAG